TTTGATGTAGGTCTCCAACGGAACCAAACATGAACTTACAGCCCTACTTACCATCGGTTTTGTCAGCATGATGGCATTTCGAACCCTTTATACCCATTTAACTCCTTACATAGAACTTCGCACTGGTATTTTTGGATTCTTGAACCAGTTAGCGTAGTCAAGAAATTGGGTCTCAAAATTGGAGCCATGGAGCGATTTGAAAAACTCATTCTCAACATTTTATAATCGGTGTTCTTTTGATTCCTATTTCCGACCTAATCAAATCCACAAGACCGTTGGTGTAAAAATCCGTTTTGACTGTTATTTTTAGCAAGGGCTCTAAATCAGTTTGGATTCGTTTACCTAATCCGCGCAAATTCCAGGCGAGTTTGTTGTTAAGTAGAGTCGCTGGAATTCCAGCCGTCTCGAAAACCGGGAAAGTTAAACGATGATCCAGGGAGTGTCGGGGAATTCGTGGGAAGTCAGGGAATTACGTAAGCAGCGAGGCGATTCGGTAACTTTTGGCGGTACCATTCGAGAGATATGTCAGTACCTCGATTGTTTCCCTAATTAGAACCTCTAGAAGGGGAAATTTTGGGTAAAGTTTAGCTTGAGTCACCTCATTAAATGTAAGTGGAAGTTTTGTTTGAAGGTCAGGGATAGTCACAGGATTTTGAAAATTTGGAGTCAAGGGAAAAAGTCAAGGGAAGACAGGGGTTTAAAAAAAAAGAGCATTAGTAAGGAAATAAGGAAACTCCGTGTTGCCTGCTTAGCCGATTTCAGGTATATCTCAGATAGGTTATTCTATCGATAAATCAGAAATTGTAGTTCCTTACTGTAAAATATAGTCCGATTTTGGTCCCTGAGAGCTGTCATGACTCTTATCGGCATTAGATCTCGGTGAAATCATCGGCGAATGATCGATTATCGATATTTCCCCATTTGAAGCAATTGTAAAGAATCGATTATTAAGGTGTTCGTCGCGAACGTTCTGACTACCGATCCTTTTCCATAGATTTAAATGGCAGATCAATTGATGAATCGCAAAGCACTGCCGTGCTAAGGAGGAACGCCGTATGAACATTCGAGAGTTGCCTAATTTCCTTTGATAAAATTTTCATACTTGAGAAAAGTTATGACAATTTTGCTTTGAAAGCTTCAGGAGCTTTAGGTGACATTGCGAACAATATTATGTGAAAAATTGGGAGTAAAATATTCATTAAATCAGGAAATTCGTTTTTATGAAAGGAAATTTGGCAACGCCTGAAGGTTCATACATCGTTTTTCCTTAGCACGGCAGAGCAAGCCGCGCCACTGGGCGAAAAAGGAAAAGGATCGCTGGGCGGAAAAGCGTTTCAACGAAGCAAGCTTAGCTACCGGGAAGAAGAATTACACGAGGGCAAATTATTCATGTCCTCTTCGCCGAAATACCTACGCTGCTGCGTCGCTGTCGAATGGAGGAAATCGGCGGTACCTACATATTTTCGCGTGATTCATATCCTGTCGTCACTCGGGAAGAAGACAGAAGGGTGTCAAGAGCGCGGTAATGCAGGTCGGATTTCGGCAGGTACCAGGTACCCCGGTCGGTACGTACGGCCACGACGGCGCCTCGTTCGTTGAACCGACTTCGACGGATGACGTCACAAATCAAACATCCAGACAGCTCCTCTTCGGATAGATGCTGACAGTGATACATGATAGGGGAGCGATTTATGTACAGGGTGATCCAATGTTGAGCCACCAGGCTCCAGGAGCGTCTTGTACGAGTCGTAATCTATGAAATTTTACTCAAAAGAACTTTTTAAGAGGGCCACAATCCTCCCTTTCTACACTGGAAAAAAAAGTTGCTTGGATCTAGAGTCCAGACTCTTAAAAACATTGACAAGCAAAAATACTCTCGATTCAATCGGACTTTTTGCTTGAATGAAAAGGAAATCCGCCTAAATCAAGAGGCTCGGTTCTTCGATTCAAGGAAAAATCGGATTTAATCAAAAATGTTTTTCCTTGTCAATATTATTAAGAGTCTAGATTCCATATCCAAGCGACTCTTCTCTCCAGTGAAGGAAATACCTGGTTTTTATTGCATTTTGCAGTGTTAAAAATCGATGAGTGAAATTCGGTTCCGGAGTCTTTATAGCGCCCGAAACCGCCGAGTTACATGAATGCGAGATGAAATTAGCAACATAAAAGCGCGTGACAACCCTCCAAAAGAGTAAATTCCGCTCCGTAGTAGTGTAAGTCACTCCGGAAGAAAAATAGATTCCGCTCTGCATCATATCCGTCAGGTTTAAGGTTTTCGGGCGCTATATTGACTCCGCCACAGAATTTTATGCAAAAATGTCAAACAGTGTGGCGACGGTAATGCACCAGATCCCATGCAAATTATATGGATCCGTATTTTGATACGCTGAATTCAATCCATACTACTTAAACTTTGGGTTCCTCTCACGAAGTTTTTTTTTTGTGACAATATCTCGGAAAATACACTAAAAATGACCGGAGGGGTCGTTCAATCATTACGTAAGCAACTCAAGGGTCTGGTCTGGAGGCCTGAGCTTGCTAAAAACCGCGGAACTATGGTTAGCATTCCTCTCAAAAGGTTCAAATTCAGAACTTCTGGTCAACAAAAGATCCGGGATAAGCCTGTTTTTTGTGTGTTTTTTTCCAACTAAATCACAGTATATTAAACTCTCACATTGGTTCTCCTGGCGACATACAGTCAATTCAACCTCTTGCAAGCCACGTGCATTTGCTCTTTCGACTTATCTCTACTGACACGCATTGCCTCATCTTCTCAGAGCATGAGCAATGACTCGTTCATGAGAAGCATTTTCCATCACATTTCTGTAATATTCGTGTATTTGAATGAGTAACTCATCACACCGGTGACTGGACTACGAGCTTAAAAAACTAAAAACAATCAAAAATGTTCGTGTAGACACTCATGAGTAATCCTGGCCGTGCGAAAGTTTCGCGGAAAAACGTGAGTTCGAACATCTGCAGCCCCGTCGACAGTTAATTTTTTTTTTTTTTTTTTTTTTTTTTTTTTTTTTTTTTTTTATTTGGTACTATATACGCTCTCGACTTTTCGTACTTGGAAAGTTGCAAATTTGTTTTACAGAACCTACGCACATCGTACAAAAAACCCCGATGCTGTAAAATTTCCTCTCATGTTTACTTTTTTTTCAACAGTGAACTCAGCGAGACTGTACCATCAACTTTTTACAAAAACCCTCGCAAATGGTATTAAACCCACCATCTCAGATATTTTATAGATCGAGATAATCAGCGATTTGAATCGGTCATGCCCAAATAGACTTGAGCGCCAGGTACGAAATACGCATAATACGAAAATTAAAAAATTTGAAACGATTTGAGCGACCTTTAAATTTCAGAACTTTGAAACATGAGTCAGTTGATCACATTATTATATAAAAATCTACGATTTCCAAGGATCGATTATTGCAGTTCCGAACGTCTTCTCGTGCTTTCATTTCTGGCGCCGAAGTCTTCTTTTAAGAATGACCGATTCAATTATTGGCCCTAGATACTCTGGCTCTGGCCTCAACTGTTGGTATCTGCAACTGACAATACTTTTCCGCTGTAGGCACTCTGTCATTAGAGTGCTCTACAACTACCGCGCACTTCGAGGGTATGAGAAAAGCAAAAGTGCCTTCAATTTTTGAACATGCGACACGCACATCCTTGGAACACGAATAGTTGCATCAAGACGCTTTTGAAGACGAGTCAAGAATGTTAGTATTCTCAACCACGAATTGAAGAGTTCATTCGGTCTCTACGACTACGGTTACCTCGACCGAAAATTTTGGTTATCCTTGTCAACCGAAGTTCTTTTGCCTCAACGATCTATGGTGATTGAAAAACGATTCTATCCCGCGTTACGGACCCGACGTGGCGTTATTTCCGAAATGAGAGGAGGTCAAGAGAATCAATTACGGGATCGCGTAAGTTACACTCCTGCTTCCTTTCCTTTGATTAAGTAGTGGCGGCATTTATTGGGAATGACGCGCGCTGCATAATCGTATCCGGGCTCGATCATGATTTGTACCACGCTTATTGTTCTCGATAAAATCACAAACAAATGACTCCTGTCCCGTGATTCATCGAACCCGTTGCGAATCCGATGACGTTATTTGTACGTCGCGTAACGCGCAATCGTTTGTTCCCGCGGCGGCGGCAGCCAAGTGCTAGCGGTAGCTTTTACCTTTAAGCTAGAATCGCGTGAAGCTTAGCGCCCTCCTACACCTCTCTTCCACTAAATCGTCGCCTCTTTAAAGTAAAGGCGTATCTTTATTTCAACGTGACCCCTGCTTTATATGTAAAGTTATTTGAATTACTTCGATAGCGTTGATTTTTTATCAGATCCATCTGAATAGCGCAGATTTTTGTTAAAATACTTTTATCGTACTCAACTTCCGTCAAATAAACTTCGACCGCGCTGATTCTTTGTAATTATTACTTAGACGGCTCTGTGAAATATTGCGTTAGAGCTTGCGTTTTACTGGTGAAAGCGTACACTGATGAACTTTCTGCACCCCTGGGTGGATCAACAGTTGCATGTTGGAGTCCCGAAAGTAAAAGCTTCCATCCAGAGTGGCAAAATTTAATGAAAAATAAAATCTTGAAATTTCACGTGAAATATCTCATGAAATTTCTGAAATGTATGAAACACATTGAAAAATACTGGTTCCTTTTCATGTTTCGCTAAAAGTAAAAATTGTGACTTTCTTCCATTTTTGTGTATTTGAGCGAGGGTTGCATACTCTAGCCCCTGAAAAATATGAAATATTTCACAGCTTCGTGAAATTTCATGAAATATTTCATTGAATATCCAATCCCTCATTTCTTTCTTACGTTTCATGCCACCCTGCTTCCATCCCCCATGACCAAGGCACCAATAAAGAGTCTCTCTTTGCCTCCGCCGCTATCGCTAACTGAAAAACTTTCAGGAGTCATGGCACGGTTTGAATACTAATAAATGTGTGTTTGGTGTGTTTCAGGTGGCCACAAAGAGTTTGTGAAGAAGCACAAGGAGTTCTGCGAGGACGCGCTCCTGCCGCCCGGGGACCCGGCCTCGTCGCCGTCGGCGTCGTCGCGGTGCCAGTGGGAGATCCTGGGCTCCCCGACGACGGCGGCGGCCCTGGACTCGCGCTGCGCCTCCGACATCGAGTCGCACCCCGCCTCGCGGGTCCTCCCCCACCTGTACCTGGGCAACCAGCGGGACGCCGAGAACCTGGACGTCCTCCGCAACCTGGGCATCTCCCGAGTCCTCAACGTCACCTCCGAGCTCCCCGGCTACCACGAGGAGCGGGGCATCCTCTACAAGCACCTCCCCGCCGCCGACTCCAGCCACCAGAACCTCAAGCAGTACTTCGAAGAAGCATTCCACTTTATCGGTAAGTCTTAACACCTATACCTCACACTGAAAAAAAGGTCCCGAGCTGTGTAGACATACATTGGCGGATCTAGCAATTTGGCAATTTGGCAACTTTAAACCTTTGGAAATGTAGTGATTCTTAAAGAGACCAGGTGCTCCGACAAAAATCGATTATTTAACGTAGGTTTTAATGGAAGAACTCCCGTGTTGCCAAATTCCTGGATCCGCTTCTGTAGACATACCGTCCGCTCCAGGGTCACAGGCCGAAAGTTCCGGGTGCTAAAGTCGTTCAGAGTGCTCCGGGTGCTGCACCCGGAACTTTCGGCCTCTGAACCGGGGATGCGGACGGTATATCTATTCAGCCCGTAAGTACGACTTCCACAGCTGGAGTTTTTTTTTTTCAGTTCACCAATATGTAAATCAACTTTTTTGAAAAGGAAGAAAGTCAAATTTTTCGAAATCGTTTTTACTTTATTTTTGGATCCCTTTCGTGTACGGACATCTGAAATTCGCGTTGCCCGGGCGACGGAATGTAACTCCATTTGAAGGTCACAAAACAGACTCAAAAAATATTTTTTACAAGAATGGACCCATGCCATGTATAGCTTTCATTAGGTGACAGTTTGAAAAACGCGGAAATGCATTTCAAAACCTTGAAAGAGCGGTAGTCCACTTCAGAATCGAGGAAAAGAAAGGAATCGGAGACACGAATTTTATGGAATTGTTCAGCTCAACACGAACTTTTGCCCTTCTGGTGAAGTGAAGAAATTTTGAGACAAAATATTACGTCAAACGGGCCCCTAGTCTAGGGGTACAGTAAAGATCACGCAATATGATTATGTTCGCGCAGTAGTATTCTCTCCACACGACTATTGTTACGCGTTCATTTAGTGTTGAAATGATTTTCGAAAGATTGACTTTCTCTTATGCTCGTAAGTTCCCTTACGACGCGGGCCTCTCGTTTTACTGAACTTACGGTAGACCGTCGCTGTAAACGCAAACGAAGGTTACTCCACTCGACAAGTTGATAAGACCACTTATCACCACGTTAGAAAACGTGACGCTATGTCTATCCCGCGTCATTTTTTTATCAGACCTACCGCGGCGCCTAACCACACGGACAATGGCTAACTCGAACGAGCCATAACAGTGATAGAAGAGGAGTTATCACGTGGGAGAAAGAGGGTCTGTGAGAGTTGCGAAAAAAAGAAGTTCTCAATGCAGGTATCTTTGGCTTACTGCTCGCGAGAATATGGAGTCGTCTGTAATTTTGGTGGTTGTTTAGACCGGTCATGGAGCTTTTGGGAACCAGCTTCCGAACTCGAGTTATTCAGAATTTCATGTTATTACAATTAATTAATACCAATCAAGGTTCCAAAAATAATTGAAGCACGCATTAGACTTTATTTTTCGCCTGAAGCTCCTCAGTTTTGCTGAAAGATTCTCATGTATTCACATCGGTGCTGGCCGTTTTGGGTTTGGCATTTGAACAAAACGGTTGGAGCGACATTTTTCTAGTGTTTTTCTCGCGAGAAGACAGGTTGCCCTTTTCGGCTCTAAGAGCTCCGTGTTGCGAAATGTCGAAGGCCAAAGTGCAAAACCGCGTACTTTCATCGCAATGTTTCATTTCCGCTCTTATTATATTTTACCAAAAGAAACAGGCCAACCTTTTAACTTGAAATCTATGCTGAATACCCCGATCACAGAGAGGGAAAATCAAGGAAGTTTTGAAGAAAATACGTTAATTAATTTTCCAATGAAAAGGCTGCCAAAGAAGTTGCTTGATTGGGTTCCTCCTGGGAGGAGACGAAGGGGACGCGCAGTGAAAGGGTGGCGATAGGGGGTTTTAGAAGAAATGAGGGTTTGTCAACTCCCTGAAGGGCTTTGGGAGGATAGGGGACTTTGGCGGCTAGGGGTCGCAGAGCGCCAAAGAGCGCTATAAAAGCGACTTTATACATACTTACATGACAGGAAGTGAGAAACTTTGCAAACGACGATACGTGGTTTCGCACTTCAGCCATCGATGCACATATTCTCCAGTATCCAGGCACTTTATTAAACGCAACCAATTTCTCGTCTTGTCATGTGTTCCATTTGGAACTACCTTGGTCAAGAGCAGTGTAGAAAACCTCCTGACGCCTTGCCGCCCCTCCCTGCCTTCGGCCCAACCCTCGGGAAGCGGAACTCACCTTCGAACCCCGAGAGCCTTCGTCATTAAATTAAGACGAAAAGATGCGCAATGGTCGCGCGGAACATTGTTTCGCGGTGACGCATGGCGACCAGCCAGAGTCTGTCTATCGGCCGTGGATCGTGGAGTCTGTCCGGTCGGTCAGTGTTGTAGACGACAGGTATGTCTCGACGATTGTTTGTCCTCGCCTCGGCCGCGCCGGTCCTCTTAGATCATCAATTCGCATACTGGGATTAGTCATGCTGCGTATCGTGTATCGTATCCGCGGAGGATCACGTGGAAAACACGAGTACACGTGGGTAGCACTGGCATGCTACGGAAGAACGCAGTATGAACCTTCAGACGTCAAATATCCTTTGCTAAATCACGAGGTACCCGGAAATTTTATTGGTATTTGTCATCTAATTTTTCAGAGGATTTTTCTGAAAATATCAATAAAAATGCTCCTAATTTCCTTAAAAATAACTATTTTGTAAGAGTGAATTTGGCAACATTCGAATGGTCATACGGTGTTTCTCCTTAGCACGAAAGAGTGCCAAGCTTAATTACTGTGTGGATTAGGGTTAAGAAACATGTATCATAATGTTTAAATTCGCACCTCGTCTACTGGTCCGTTTTACTTCCTCTTTTCAAGAAGTTGGAGTATTAATCGCTTTAAATGTGACTTAACTGAAAATACAGGGGAGGAAAACCCGGAAAAAATCAGGAAAATAGAAAGTAAATTATCCAAATGTCAGGGAAAAATTTCGTCCCCAGAATTGGCGAATTTTTTATGAATAATGAAGCCTTAGTTGTGTTCAGTTTGGTTAAGCAACTAAACCAACTCCGTGACAAAGCGTGAAGTATCACGAGACGTTGAAGGCGTTCCATCTTGCCTCCGCAGAATTCTCCAGATGAAAACTCAATTTTACATGTTTTATCATGAACATGTGAATGTTTATTCAGTCGTGTTATCCCATTCGATCCAAGAAGGGTTCGAAAAGAACTCCCGGAGCCCCCGCTCAACATCGCCAGATGGTATCCTCCTCCCCTTTAACTCTTTGTGGATCCGCAACTGTCTCAGGGCGAATCCGAGTGCTGATTTTCGAAGATAACTGTTGCTGCAAAAGGAAGATATCCGTTGAATCGACTCTGTCGGCGTGATCCTGGGGAATGAGCGGCAAACGATTAGCGGGTGATCGTGAGCCAAGTCTGCCGCCTCCCAGCTGTTGCGGCTAAGATTACTCATTCGACGGTGGTGGCGCTCACGATCCGAGAGCTTTCAGCGACATCGCGGCCGATGAATCAGGATTCGCTCGGGAGGCTGCGACGCCCGCAGGCGAAGAAAAGCAAACATAACCTAAAAGAGCGTTATCTCAACCGTTGAGTCAGCCAAGGCCGTTGTTTACCTATCCGACCGCACGCGACTCTTGACTCCTTCGCCGGGTATGCGGAGTGATCTTAAAGTTCCGCACCACCCCCCATAACACTGAAAAGAACTCCGGCCGTGGAAGTCGTACTTACGGGCTATTTAGGCATACCGTCCGCGTTCCGGGCTCAGAGGCCGAAAGTTCCGGGTTTATAGCGCCCGGAACGGACGGCATGTCGATATAGAGCACCCGGGACTTTCGGCCTCTGAGCCCGGAACTTTTTTTCAGTGACCCCTAGGGTTCGCACTTCATCTATCTGTATGTAATTTCAGTGATATTCACGATCTCTCTAGACTCGTTTCGGATTGAATAACAAGCGCCGATTACCTACATTTTCCATTCACCTATTTTCAGCTAAATTCAAGTTTTTGTTTTCCCAATTTTTTCTTTCTTTTTTTTTCGTCGTCGGGCCCTTTTCTGATCCTATCATTCCAAGGAGCCTCGTCGATTTAATCATAATATCTTCGATTTTCTCCGATCCTTCAGCCCTCTCCTCCGATATTAAGGTAACTCGCTCATCGTGAGCGCGACGGGGTTGCACAGCCAGATAAAACCGAAAAAAGTCAGGAAATTTTAAGAAGTCAGGGGAAACCTGGAAATGTCAGGGAAAATTTTGAAAGTGTCCGGGAAAAATTGTTGATTTGCTTTAATTTGCTTTTTAGAATGGATTTGACGTTTTGAACAACAAATTTTGCCTGAAAATAATTTCTAATTGTGCCTTTGAAATTATCCGTCGTATAGCCCTCGTCCCACGATCAAATGAACTCATCAAATGCAAGATGGCGGGTTCATCAACATTTGACGGCCCGCTAACATTTGATAGCAGACTTGCGCGAAAACCAGTCGCCATCTTGCATTTGATGACTATTTGATGAGTTCATTTGATCGTGGGACAAAGGCTTATCTTCAATTGTCAGGGAATTTTACGCAAACATGTCAGGGAAATCAGGGAAATGTCAGGGAACTTCATCTTCCAACTTGTGTGACACTCGTGGCGCGATGTGGCAAGCGCGGCGGGAGAGGCAGCTGAAACGAGGAGGCCCCGCTCTCCGCGGATGACTCATCGCGGCGGTTGCGGCCGTATCGTTGTAAAACCGAACGAGTTTAATTGTTCATTGAGAGCGAATTGAACGCTCCCGTCGTCGCTGCTCGCGCAACCGAGCCGAACGCCGTTCCGAAGAAGGGCGTGAGACCCGGCAAGTCCCCGGTGGCATTTATGCCCTTTCCGAAACAGCCCGCCGCCGAATCGAGAACGGAGGCAGGCGAAAGGAGCGGAACGCCCGCCTTGTTTACGCGCCCCCCTCCCCCCCGAAGCGGGGTCGGGCCCGTCGCCCCATTCATTTTTATCCGCTAATCTGCGCAGTTCGGCCGAGGTGTAACAGCTGCTCCTGGCCATTATTGGGGGAGCCCCGATTTGGGGAT